AATAACAAATTCAACATGCTAGCACTGTTTAAGTGTATAGCCTATACATCCTTAAAACAACTCAGTTGTACGTTTCGCGATACATCCTAAGACTTATGAGTGATGATGTACTACTGACAAGCAGGAGCTTGAAAAAATATAATTAATGACAGTTTCTCTTTCTCTCTTTGTTACATTTTTTTTTTTACACACCGCGATTGACGGGTGTTCGTGTACAAATTAATGACGCTCGGATTGATTCACGACCATTTAACCGTAGGTTTTTCCGCTATCGATTTCGAGTTATTTATAATCATTTGTATGTATCCGAGTCCGTTCGCGCAATAATGGCTTGCGACGCGAAATGCGAACGGAGAAGAGGCCGAGGGGGACAGGGGAAGGGAGGGGCGTGGGGGGGAGAGCGATCGGTGTTTAATCATCGCGCACGATTCTGACCCATTTACATCGTCTCTCGTCGAGAGAACAACGAGAAAGCAGTTTCGATTCCAGGCCGTAGCGTCGCATCGACGAGCGATGGAGCGCACCGCGCCGTTATTATCGGCGCTTCGCTCTGTACACCTGCGCGGGTTGATCAGCATTTACTGCTTCCTGTCTTTGAAAAATTCACAGGCTCGTCCCGGCTTTATCAGTATTTCTACCTCCCATCTTTGAAAAATTCACGGATTTATCTGAAGCACGCTTGAAACGACGATTTATCCTAGTAGCAACGTAACCGTCTGACTTATCCCTGACTACTTCTACTTGTACCTCGTTTATAAGATACAACGTGTTCCACAATCGAATATTAATGTCTAAGGGAGACCAGTGAAGTGGCGAAGCAAAACGTGAAAGAAAATGAAAAGGTAAAAGCGGACCGACACTTGCGAATCGATCGGTTGGCCGGAAGGCGTGTATGTGTACGTACCTCCATGCCACGTCGATTTCTCCATCGCACCCACTTGTTGAACCCCGGTCGCCAATATTCGACGAAGTACTCTTCGGTGTACTCGACCCCGTGGCCGTTTCCGAACCTGCCCTGGGTCCTGGTCGACGTCAGTAGACGCGGCGTGTGCAGATTCACCTCGAGGTACTCCTTGCCCTCCTTCGTGAGCATATTTTTCGGGCACCAGGCGCCGCCGCCTTTGTCCTGTCTCAGCCTGGGAAACCGAGGAATTACGGCAAGAATTATTACGACGGCCCCGCCGCGGGAATATTCGCTGCTGCCTGCATCTACCGAGCATATTCCACGTTTACGCGAAAATCATGCGCGGACGCGGCAGCCACGAGCAAAAAGGAAAAATGATGAATCTCCCCGTGGAAACCAGAGATACTGTTGAACAAGCAACGAGGCTCGTGTATAAAAAAAATTCGATATTATTGTTTCAAACGAGTACAATTACGTTTCTCCTTTTGCTCGATTCTAATCTTTTGTATATTTCTATACATTAATCTCAGGTGCTTACAAATGCTTACTGTGCAACAAGAAATCTATCTTTCCTAACATGGGCAAGTATATGTATATACAATTTGCATTTGTTCATTCATACTCTTAAGGATGTATTGGCTATACAATCAACCCCAAAAGTTTATGTACTTTAGAAAAGTACATTTCCCATAATTAGAAAGAAATCAGACGTCGGAACAACAATGCTAATAACAAATAGCTACGTGCTAAAAAGTATAGAAGGAAATATTAATTATTGACGCTGGCGAAAAGCTTTTTATACAGACGTTGTAGGCACTGACATCCTCTACAAAGAAAAATTCTATGCATTTTTCTTCTAACTTCAGTATTTAACGAGTTAAGTATGATTA